GTTATTTTTTAAGCTTCTCCAAAATAAAATGGAGTTTTCAGAACCATCAGCAGTGCTTCTCTGGCTGGTTTGTGCAAGTCCCTGAAACACAAATGATTATTCCAGTTTATGAGCTGTAAAGTCATGTAGGAGCTTCGAGTAGGTTGACATTTATTTAGAGTGGGGGAAGAGCCTTCTGACTTGAAGCCTTGAGCAAAGCTGTTTTGTCTTCTTGTACGGAAACAAGAAGTGAACAGAACGTTCTGGATTTTAAGACCAGACAGATGGTGGGTGTATGTCTGCAAACGAAATTTGTTGGTCAATTTGTAGGTGAAAAATTGAAACTTGGTACGTCACATCTCCCCCACGTTCCAAGGTTATGGGCAGAAGACCACAAGGTGTTGGACAATCTTAGAGGCCCTGAGGACTCAGCAGAGGAAGACAAAGTTAGTTCCCAGGCACAGAAGCATCATGAGTGAGGAAAAGCAACCCCCCACACATAGAATAGTCAGTAGATATCCCAATCAGGAAATTGTAATCCCACTTAGCGAAATCCACGGTCAGGGACCACGATGAACAGGAAACCAGAGCCATGAGCAGAAACAGACCAGATCCCAGCGATCCAGGAAACCATAGCAGGAAAACCAGGTGATGAAGCAGTGATGTTATCTCAGGAAGCGAGGACATCTGGCAAAACTCAGCAAAGTATCAAAACACACACACATAGATGGAAAAGAACAAATAAAAAAACACTAGTACTATATATACTTGTGTGTGCTATGTGTATGGAGTTTATGTAAAAAGAGGTCAGCTTAAAGGAGTAGATGCAGTAAACTACGTGTACTGGAAAAGTGTTGCAAAAAGAACAAAATCAACAAAACCTTATAATATATGTAAGGGAAATGAAAGCTTTTGAGCAAAAATGTTATAAAAAATGGAAGAGCTAAATAATCAGTAGCTCATAACTGGTTATAAATTAAAATTTAATTCAAAGGAAATCATAAAAGTTTTGTAATAAAGTAATCATCCATCCATTGTCTGAACCCACTCTGTCCGCGTAGGGTTGGTGGGGGGTGGGTGGGGGGGGGGGTGCTGGTGCCTATATCCAGCGGTCAATGGACAATCAGGCGGGGTACACCCTGGACAGAGAGCCAGTCCATCGCAGGGCAAAACAGAGATCATTAAGTAATCAATGTAATAAATATGTATGTATTTGAAACGTATTCTTAAAAGAATTGATGAAGGAGTACAGGTATGGACCCCATTTCCGCATTCCTGTGGCAATCTGCCCCCCAATTTTATTTGCACCTTATACACTTCCACCGACGACATTCCACACAAACACACACTTAGGGCCTTGCGAGTGAGCACATCCAATGGCATTTGGCAGGGGGATTTCTCAGCCTCCTCCCCAGTGCCGGTGCCCACTTCCAATTTTAAACTGCACTTAGACACTGATGGCTGAGGGTGCAAGTGGGGTGGTGCGGTGGCATCAGCTGGCATAGGCCAGACGATGCCCGCACTGCCCGCTCACCAAAGCCATGGATTACACCTCATCTACATTCACTAACACCATATTGGAGCAGGCGGAGGGAGACTAGGGGTCTTAGCACACCTCTGTTGTCACTTGGCTTCCTGGGGCTGGAGGCTAGGAGGGAGATCTGGCCGTCTGGTTGGGGTCTGGGGTGGTGGGTTGCTGTGCTCAGCGTTGAGCGGGGGAGCCTGCTCATCAGCACCCCAGCAGAAAGGGTCGAACTCTTGGAACCGGTGATGGTTGTACCCAGTGTGCAGCAGCACCGGGACCAGAGTGAATAGGGTGTGTATGGGGAGCATGAGTGGGTGTCCGGCGTGCATTTTTGTAAGTCTTTGGTTGTATGTGCATGTGTGAGCATGAGGGAGAGAGTGTGTGACTGTTTGTGTATGACTGTATATGTCAGGTGGGGCCTTTGACTCCTCCCTTCTCCTGGGACTTATTTTGATGATATAGATCTTCTCCTCCCCTCCTCCTGCCACACCTGGTGTGGGGTGCGGTGCCTTGGTCTGCCTGGGTCGTGGCTCCCGGGCCACGGAGTTTAAGATTTTTGGCATCTGCCTGACCAATCCCGGTAGCTGCCTGGTTGGGTCTGGGTCCCTGGACTCTGCTGGGTCCCCGGCGGGGGTGGTCGCCCCTGGGTCCCAGGTCATTGGGTGCCGGGCTCGGCCGGCTACGGGGTGGGAGGCTGCGAGCTGTCCTGTGGGCTTGCCGCCGATATCTCCCGGGACTCTGCCGGCTGCTGGTTGTGGCCCCCCGGGGCGATCCTCTGCGCCTCTTGAGGGGAGCGGGGGCTTTTCTGGTGGCAGTCTCCTTGGGGTTCCTGTGTTCTGGGGCAACTCCTGGATCTCTGGGACTTGGAGCTCCCTCCGTCTCCTACACATCTTTGGGGGGCAGATCTGTGGTCCCTCACACTCTCTGTTGGACGCTCCTATAGAGAAACCTTACATAAACAAGCGCGTGTACACACACAGGTGCTCACATGGTGCTCTCAAAAGTATGGAATTGGGCACGTTCAACACATGTCTTAAGACTATGGTGGGCACTTAATGCACTGTGATTTATTATCGTGTGATTGTTCAGTTAAACAATGTTGATTTTATATTTCTTCATCAAGTTGACGCCGTGATAGCTTGATCTTGTTGTATTGTTGTTGTGTCCCATTTTTTTTCTCTTTCTGCAGGTCTAGAAGCAGACTCTTGTTCATTTTTGTCTATTTTTGTGGAATTCTGCGAATCAGAATTCGACATGCAAAAGAGGGCTTATACAAACACCACAAAAAACCAAGCCTCGCATCAGAAACGAAGGTTCTGATTGGATCAGACAAAAGGAAATGTGTCATGTGGCTTTAGCATTACTCTGTGTCATCGCGTGTCTAGTGCAGCCGTCCAAGATTATAATAACTTGTAAAATACTACCGATCACAGAATTATAATATCAAGTAATAACATTGTCATTTCACAGAATGATTGAACATTGGATTCACATTATAACTGGCAATACAAACGTTGTTTGATTATGTTTTTATCAAAAGAGTTCTCCGTCTTGTCTTGAGCTGTAAAGAGGTGAAGCAGTTCAGATGAGCAGAGGCCATGAAAGGCCTTGGCCACTATCTCATTTAGATTAGGCCTGTGTCCGAGACGTTATGTCTCCACTCGAGCAGATGCAGCAGAGCATGACCTTTAGGTCAAAAACAGGACATTTCATGACGCTACGCCAGGTGTGGGCTCAAAGTGTGAAATAAGCTCAGCCATCTTATATAAGTCAGCTGATGTGAGTGGAGGAGGAGAGGATTTCAAGTGTTGAACTCGGACACTCAAAATTTGAACATCTTTTTTTTTTCATCATTGATTATTTTTGTGGAGATGGTTTCAAAAGAGGCTTCTTTCCCGATTTGGCCGAATCGGAGCTCAGCTGGAAACTGAATTGATCAGGAAGTCATTCTTCTTTTAATAAACTTATTATTTATCATTTCTGGCGTATTCTGGCAAGTCAGAATGTGCTGTGTCTGGAAGGCTTTACCAAAACGTTGGTCAGAAAGCCATGCCTTCCTTCAGATACAAAAATGTTTTTAACCTTAATATGTATCTTATTGTAATGTGTATGAGTCTAGATAATGATTACCTTGTTAAATCAAACGCAAACTTCTTTGTGATATAAATGGATCATTGTAAGAACAATATTCATATTAGATTCATTGAATTAAACACAGATTATTCAAACATTTAATTAAAACATCTTGTTCATTCATCACATATGATTATTTAACTTATGAGTTGTAAAATCATGGTGTGTTCACTTGTTCAGAGTGAAGAATGTTGACGTTTGACATTCATGCAGAGAGTGTAGGACCTTGGGAGAGAACGTTTGTTTGAATGTGTTGTCTTTATGGACTGTCATCACGACTGTCAATCACTGAGCAGAACCTTCTGGTTCTGGAAGGCCAAACAGAAAGTGGATTTATGCTCTTGTTGAAAATTTATTATGTTGGTCAATATATAGGTGAAAATTGACCCTTTTGGACATTACAGATGTGAGGAGAAGCAGCGTGGGGGCAGCTTGAGTTAACCATGCTAGCTTAAACTCATGTGCTAGCATCACAATATAGTACAGATTACTATCATGTACCAGACAGTTAAAATAGTCAGTTAATATTAATACTAATGAGCGTCTGTAAGCTGTCTCATACTCCTTAATATCCGTTTACCTAACGTAATTTAGCTTAGAAAGAGGGAGAGAAATGCCTGTCATCCAGTTCTGGAGCTCATGCGGGCTTCTGTGAGCTGGATCCGATCCCAGTCCAGCTGGGATTTAAAGCTGTGCATCCTCTCCTGGTGGTCCAGGTGGCGGTTCTAATCCGGTTCCGACCCAGAAACCAGCTCGACTGGAGCGCTGAGCCGCGCAACTTTTCTGGTGATCGGTTCTGAACTGGTTCTAATGGTGATCTGAGATCCAGAAATCCATATTTATTGTTTTAACGCCACCATGGGTCTGTGGAGCCCAGCGCCGGTCCCTGACCTGGTTTCGACCGATGTGGGCTAAGATTTAGAAACAAGAGCCTTTTTTAGAAGCTTTGCTGAGAAAGGACACTTTTTACTAGAAAACTCTTCTAAGTATTTTACAACCAAATATCCACAATAAGCTTTTCCAACAGGATTTTTGGGACAGCATTTTCTATGAATAAAAAAATAATTTCACCTGCAATTTGCTCTTTAAGGGCTCAAGTACACTTGAGTCCTGGCATGTTGAAAGGTGTATAATCTGAATTAAACAAAGGGCTGTCGATCTGCGAGCTTTCCTAATGCACTGCCACATGACTTCTCCAGTTTTGATTTTAAGAAAATTAGACTTACACTTATTGATGATGACACATTGTTAATGCTTGTGTAAATATGACAGAACACTCAGAAAAATTCAAGGAAGCAGGTTTTGAAATAGGACTGCTAAAGTTTACAGTGTCAAACAACAATTAACCTGTGTTTTCCCACAGATCCTCCACCCTACAGCCCAGCCGCCCATGCACCCCCGTCAGCCTCGGAGCCTCCCATGTGCACAGCCAATCAGCAGGTAACAGACATCACCTTGTTAAAAAGTAAACAGATATTTAGCGACAGACCCAGAACAGATTAAAGAACGCATCACGGAAAAAGTCCGAAAAGATTAACGTTCATTCACCCGTGAGTGAAGGAGTACAAAATACGGAGCAAACATGGATGGAAATGATGAGTTTAGAGGCGGCGACCGCATGAAGAGTTGGATGAGAATGAAGGACAAATATGTCCGTGTTATAAAGTCTCTGAAATACATAAACACATTAGTAAATACGCTATCGGGGACCGGACTGTTATGGTGGTCGGATACCGCACAACAGCGCTACGCCCTCTGTTGCACACGTTCTGCTGCTGTTTCTCACCAGTATCAGCTGATGGAGGGCTCTAGTTTTGTTACGCCATTCGTGTCAGCAGACACGGTAGGGTTGGGGAGGGGGACGGGGCATGACGCTTAGCCTGGCGGGTGGCCAAGCAAAGCCTGGCAAGCTGCCAGGCTTATGAAGCACTGGGGGAAACCCTGCAAATGGTTTAGGAGAATTTTAGCATCCAGGAGGAAAATGTTGGGAACACAGCCGCAGATCTTTGGGAAGTTGTGTCTGTCCACAGGCATTTTCCCACTGCTTCCTCCTTTTCTTGCCATTGGGAAAGCTGTGTAAACTCACATCACTCACATTTGTCAGGTTTAAACATCATACACAAAGACATCATACACAAAGAAGAAAAGAGACAAAAGTCAGAATTCTGTTTTATACTCGAGGAGAATGGAAAAAAGGTCCGACCAGCACAGTCTCCATTGCACCGGCAGATCCTCTAAAACCACTCTGCCTTTGAAATCTGAGCGTGTCCTTTTATTACAAGCTGGGCGGGTCCCTAGATATATGCCTGAGGATGGGGGGAAATCACCACTCTCAGTATTCAGTAATTGTTACAAGTATCACACAATGAGCATAATGTTTTTCTAATCAGTGTCTAATCACATGATGTGCAACAGATAGTTGCACGAGTCAGCAGATATCCTTGGGTCACATTAGGTCAGGACCAAGGCTCAGCATTCTTAAAGTCTCCTCACGACACTTCAAACAATACAGCAACTGTTCAGCATAAATGGTAAAATATTTAAATGTAATAAAAGCATAAAGCATGATAAAATAAAACACATATAATTATCTTAACACCTTGTCGTCCTCTGACTGGAAATTACATCCAAAAGCAGCACAATGCCACATTTTACTTCATTATTAATACAGTGAGCGTGTAAACAAACACTAGCGTCAATGGCTATTCTTCCAAGTGCAACTAATATATGTCATCGCCCCCAGAGTGAAAACATGGCATCCTACGTGTGTCAAAAATGTACTAAATACTATAGATTTATAAATAAACAACAATATTTTGTGTTTCTAACAACATAGTTTGGTACAACACAAAACTTGTGGCCAGAGTTCCTTTTAAAGGGATAAACCTTGTCATCATTTTGTTTTGAACTTGATTGTATTTCTGCGTACATTTCAAGAGCTGAGCAGTTAAAGAAGTTGATTTTTTATCATTAACCTGTGACAGTTTTGTTGGACTGTGGCTCTCAGCAGGCTGGCTTACCTGAGGAAGTGCAGGCAGGATCGGTGGTGGTGAAGGTCCACTACACCTTCAGCATAGCTCTGTCCGTCCCCTTGGACACTCCTTATCATCAAATGAAAGAACTAATTGCACAGAAATTGGGCCAACCAGGATCTCTGCTGCGTTTCAGGTAAACACAGATTTCCCGCCTGATTTCACTAGACATTCCCAGGAGACTGCAGAATCACAAGTACTCAAAGCTCACCACAAAACCCCGCGATATTTAACATGAATGTTTGGTGGATCCCACTTCCCTCCTTTGCTTTCGTTCTGTTATCAGATGTAAACAGCATGGGGCTCGAGTGCTGACACCTCTGAATGAGGAAGCAGAAGCCAGTTTCACTGTGCAGGAAGTGGCCGAGGCTGGCAGACTCACCCTTTGGTGTCAGGTGAGAACTTTAGCTCTCTTCAGTGACCTGAAATAAACCCCGCCCCAACCCCACTGACAGGTTAACTGACTCTTTGCGCCACCTGTTCCTTTTCTGTCACTCTGCTTGTTTCTCTAGAAAGAAGACCCCCTGGCAAACCGTACCATCCTTTACCAAATGGTGGCGATATATAACTATGGAGGTCAGGGCCCAGAGGATCTGGAGTTCAGTGAAGGCGACACCATTGATGTCCTGGGGCAAGGTTTGTCCCTACAGGTTAACGGGTGGAGTTTTATTCTTGCAGCTTCAGATGAAAATGGAAAAATGAGCATGTTTTTTCTGTGTTCTGGTTTAGTTAATGATGAATGGCTGGAGGGACACTGTGCAGGAAACATCGGCATCTTCCCCAGCTGCTTTGCCTACAGAGAGAACCAAGGCACCATCCAGGACCCAGTGTATTAAAAGCAGCAGCTGTCTCTAATTAGCCTGATCTACGTTTGTGTTTTAGATTGTGGAGGGTTGAGCGGTTTTAAAAAAAGAGTTGGAGAGAGGTCTAATATTTGACAGCGTGGGTCTTTAATGAGACAGATCTGCTCAGAACATACAAACAGCCTTGTGGACCAAAGACCAAAAACAAGAAAACAGCACTTCATTTATACACTTCTGCTACGAGCACGAGCTGCGCGTGCATGCGCAAGTGTCCAATTCCCAAACTTGGTCATGTCCCAATGGTATTACAACAAGTCTTTGACATTTGGTTGGAATTTTCCACTTCATAACAGATCTTTCCAAAGTTAGCTTTAACTTGGCAGTTGCACTATGAGAATTAACAGCCCGATCTAAATACTGTTAATAGAAGCCTGGACCACCGGCCATGAACTTATCTGATAAAGACTTCTGCAAGCAATGCATTCTATCTCTAGCTGGAAACAGTCTTCAAAACAAAACTCCTGTGGAGCTGACCGGAACACATGAACTTTCCCATCAACAATCAAGCTTTTAACCCAAAGATTCAAAGTTCAGCTCCATACTCTTTGTACAGATGACCTCTTGACCTTTATGGCCACTACAGTCCTCCCCATGGTGGTTTAGACCACCATACACTATCGTCGTAAATAATTAAACATGTAATGTTTATCAATAAATGAATGCTTAACTGAGTAACAGAATAATGTAACAGTATGACTGAAAATGGAAACACAAGGGTATACCAAATGACTTTGAAACTAAAATTAATAAAGGAATGCATGTGATGATGTACCAGAATAACACTGCAACTTTACCATGTATATGTGATGTATAATGATTAAGTAACTGAAAAACAAACTTGATGAGTATACAGATGAGATAATAATAAATGAAACAATAGATGAAACATGACTTTATCATTAACTGAACTTGTCAATTCACAAATGTAATGCATGCACACCCTGTAAGGAGGCAAAAACCTGTCTGCTGTACTTTAACAGGGAAAATTCCTCTATGTCCTCCCCGACCCACGGGACGAACGTCGCAGCACAGAGCGCGCATGCGAGGCTAGCCTAGGGGCATTGTTGACATTCATGTCCTCATCAATCATCAAAAGAAAAACACAAAACAACAAAAACACATGAAAATAAACAGGTGACAAATGTGATGAATAATGAGTAATTAGCCTTAGCAAAGATGTAATGAAACTGTGTAAAGTCCATAAAAACCAAAACCCATACTGAGCACTTTAAAAGTAAGCAATGGCTTGAGACTCAAAAATGCAACTATCAAAGTCCCGATTGTAGTGTTATGATCAGTGATGGGAATAACGCCGTTTCAAATAGCGGCGTTACTAACGGCGCATTATTTGGGTAATGGAATAATCTAATTAATTACTTTTCCCACTGTTGCAATGCCGTTACCGTTACTGGGGACGGAAGGTTATGCGTTACTATGTGCTTGTCGAACTTTGAGCAACAGTGTGAGGCTTTCTGACCGCCACACTTCAGCTGCAGCCAGGGAGAGAGAGGTGTCGGTAACGCACTTACAAACACGATGATGATTGGCCGGGTGGGAGGAGACCCTCAGTGTTCTCACTGTCTCAGTCGCTGCCTGCTGTAGACCCAACAGAGCAGTGATGGGAATAACACCGTTTAAAATAACCGCGTTACTAAAAAATATTTTTTCTGTAATGAGCAATTTAATTAATTTCGTCTTCTTTTATTACAACGTTGTTTCTGTTACTGATAAGAAAATGCGTGCGTTAAGCAGCGCGGTGTGTTGAAGCTGTCATCAGCTGATCAGGAGCTAAAGAGGCAGATGTTTTCATCCAAGAGCATCACGGCCGTGAAGAACGAGGAAGACGTGATGAAAAGTCTATGGCTGCAGGTGTGGATCTGCAGCCGTGCCCTTAGCGTGACAGCGGGACGTCCCGAAGGTCCGCTCACCTGTTCATCACTCAGACGTCCTGATCTTCTACCTTCCTAGATCATCCAGCTGTAACCTGTTTCTGATCATGTAGTAAATGTAAGTCCTCCATCAGGCTTGTGCCTCTTCTAGTGTCATTTTAAAGGATTTTATTTATTTATTTAACCGATACTAGATTAGCAGCAACAGAAATGCTGCTAAAAACACACAATTATGTCAAACTGGAAAAATTAAAATACTGTACAAAATTACCTTCATTTCTGTAATTTAACTAGACTGAGAGACCATTTAAAGGCTCGGGAACCTTTACAGGTGTTTCTATTTGCAATTTTAAATTTTAGCTGATTGGGGTCTTGTTAAATATCACACAGTGACCTTTTAGTAGTCTAGATTAGTGTAATGTTCCTATTAGTAGTTCCTCCTGTTAAGTGCTTATTTATTTAAATTATTCAGGTTTATAAAAAACATTTTGACATACATTTTATTATGTTCCAGTCATTAGTCATTTATATTTCACTACTGTATTAATTTATAGTGAACCAAGTGTAGTGTTAAAGAGTGTAACTCGAGATAGAGAACTATGGAACCGACGAGTCTGGCAACCGAAATCACTCCACCTTCTACGTCCTGGCAGACGGAGGAGGAGGAGGGGGACCGGCCGGCTCAGGCAGAGGCACCTGGGCAGCCGGTGCTCCACGAACCGGTGCTAAGGCTCGAGTTGGGCGTCCTTTGACATCACCGACCGAGTTCCCCAGAAGGGTCAATTGTGCGGAGAAATAACAGAACAGGATGAAGAGCACACCCCAGAGCAAGCCGAGGTTTAGGCATATAATGAATATCACGACAGAATCAACGGAGGACCAGGAGTAAGACACTGGTCGAAACTTGAGACCGGGATCTGCCGACAACTCACGCATCACTCTGTTCACCACACCCACTCGAACCACGGTTGGACCGTCGAATGTAACACGATCCATCATCGCTGGAGAAAGAGCAAAGAAGATTCAATTCAATTCTTTATTTCACTCAAAGTTTAAATATGTTCGTAGAGACAAGTTAGAGGTAGCTGGGGGTGGATACCAACTGCGGTTGATAGCAGCCCGAAATACGCGACTAACAAAATGTACTTTACCAGACCTGGAAATGGAAACCAGCGACATTGTAGGTTGTAGAGTGGTGCGGCCTTGCCAGGGTTCGGAGCAGGTGGAGGCTCCGGAGGGCCCTTGTTCGACGCGCAGGTGCAGTCAGAGAGATCGGGGTCAACCAGTGGTGGTACAGGGCACCGGACCCCCTCGCCTTCTGTAGGTGGGTCACCAACCTCTGGGCTAGAGGTCACCAGCGCCTGCTGTAGCACAGTAACGTCAGCAATGTCATCAGCCTGTCCTTCGGCAGGGGGAGTCCCCACCGCAAGGTTCTAGGCTTCAGCCGGAGTATCAGCGCCACCCTCAGTCCCCCCTTTGGCAGGTGGTGTCCCCACCGCAGGGTGCAGAGTCTCAGGTGGTGTGTCACTGCAACCGCCAACTCCCACTAGGGTAGGTGTTTTCCCCACCTCAGTGTGGAGTGGTGTTGCAGAGACTACTCAGACTCTCTGGAGGTCACTGACCTTACCAAGGTCAGTACTGGATTGATTGACCAGGTTGACGGTTCCGTTGATTTTGTCACCGCCTGAACATGCAATGAGGTGCCCAAGGGACGCCAAGGGCGTCGGCTGAGTTGCCCGAGTTTGGAGTGTCCAATCCTTAAGTGAAATGCTGGCTTCAAGGCGTCGTATCAGGTCTCCTCCCACTATGAAAGGAAACGCTTCGACGTTAGTCACAAACACTGGATGGCTCACGGACATGTCTCCCACTGTGAAGTTGATGGACACCACATCCGACAAGGATACTCGGTCTGCAGAGAATTGTTGGATCTGCCTAATGCAGGTCGTGAGTCCTACGATGTGACCCTGTGCAGCTGCAGCCATGCGGACCTGCTCCCAGAGAGAGCTGGACATGATGGTATAATCTGAACCCGTGTCCATGAGACCCTCACAGTCCAGCGCCCCCTCCAGGGTCACCGGAATGTGAGGTTTATTCATAGGACCACGTCGGGTGATACGGCAGAGAGCTCTTCGTGGAAGTCTGATCGGTGAGCTCAGTTTGCTAGGTCTGGTTTCAGGTTCTGTGGGTGCTAGAGTACTAGCGACGACAGAAGCAACCGCAGCAGGTCTCACCGAGACCTCAGGTGTCGATGAATGCACCGTTGTGGCAGGTGTCGCCTTTGCAGGACCTGCTTCCACAGGCAGGTTGAGGAGGTTCTACCGCAGAGATGCACAGAACCAACTCACGTACCATCGAATCTTTCAACAGGTCAATAAGTATTTCTCCCAGTGCGCGAAATTTGTCTGGAGATTGACTCCCAGAATCAGTTCTCAGCCTTGGGACAGGACTGTGGTCCTTGCGAGGGTTACGTGGTGATTTTTGGCCTGAAGGAGCGTGTCCCTAGCTTGGGCGAGGCGACTCTCTCCTGTAGGAGCCTGGCGAACCCCCTTTTTTCTGAAAGAAACACGATGTTTATCGCGTCCTGGTCGTGGTGTCTTAGGGTCCCCTCCACGAGCTGGTGGAGGGGTCTGGGGTCTGTTTGGGTTTTGAGGCCTGTTGTTTGGAAAGCCTTTTGGCTTGAGGTTGTTATTAGGTTTTTGGGCCTGTGGTTTGGGTCCAGCTTTTTGGTTTTTATTTTTATGAGTTCCGGATGTGGTACCCTCGAGTCGCAGCGAGGTCTTTTCCTCCACCGCCAGAACTGATGGACTGCTCAAACTCTTACTGGATTTACCAAATCGTGTAAAGGCACAGCTCGCCATTCTTCTGAGCTCATCCATGGGTGTGGTTTTAGGGTCCACGGTACCCATGTATGGGCTATACTGGGCATGTAGATTCTCAAGGAATAGTCCCTTAAAACCTTTTTCCTCTTCCATCCCGTCCTTGCATTCCGTACCAAAGTACGCGTTGAAGAGATGTTGATAGAAGACTTGTGGGTCTTCAAAACAACTCTGTTTGACTGACAAAGCTAACTGTATGCCAGCCTCCTGTGAATTGTAGGTGTACTCTTTCCGAACTGCAGCTTCCAGCTTTTCGTTATCATTCGCGATTAAATTACGCTTGCAATCAATAAGCGAACCCACACCATAGGAGGTCCA